CCTCCCACCTCAGCCTCCCAAAATGCTGGGATTATAGGCGTGTGTCAATACAACCCAACTACTTTTTAAATTTTTTGTAGAGATGGGGTTTGTGGTGATGGCCAGGCTAGTCTCCAACTCCCGGCCTGTAGCGATCCTCCTACCTCAGCCTTCTGAGGTGCTGGGATTACAGGCGTGAGCCCCTGAACCTGGCCCAGATTGTTGTTCCTGCTCCCCATTGGATCTCTTCCCAACAATGCCCAGGGCGGCGGCCCTGCAGCCAAGACGGGGTTTCTACAGAGTTTGTTTAATAAATGCTCAAGGCTGGGCATGGTGGCTCATGCCTGTAGTCCCAGCACATTGGGAGGCTGAGGTGGGCAGATCACAAGGTCACAAGTTCGAGACCAGCCTGGCCAACATGGTGAAACCCCATCTCTACTAAAAACACAAAAATTAGCTGGGTATGGTGGCGCACGCCTGTAATCCCAGCTGCTTGGGAGGCTGTGGCAGGAGAATCGCTTGAGCCCAGAGGCGGAGGTTGCAGTGAGCCGAGATTACGCCACTGCACTTCAGCCTGGGGGACAGAGCAAGACTCCGTCTCAAACAAACAAACAAAAAAATTTCTCAAGGCCAGGTGTGGTGACTCACACCTGTAATCCCAGCACTTTGGGAGGCTGAGGCAGGCAGTTCACTTGAGGTCAGTTATTCAAGACCAGCCTGGTCAACATGGTGAAACCCGTCTCTATTAAAAATACAAAAATTAGCAGGGCGTGGTGGCAGGTGCCTGTAATCCCAGCTACTTGGGACACTGAGACATGAGAATCGCTTGAACCCGGGAAGCAGAGGTTGCAGTGAGCTGAGATCACGCCACTGCACTCCAGCCCGGGCAACAGGCAACAGAGTGAGACTCCATTTCAAAACACACAAAAAAATCAAAAAGTAAGTAAATAAGTAAATATCCAGTCTAGTACTTGGCCCATAGCAGATGTCCAGTCAATAATCATCAATAAATAGATCCCATTTCAAATTGTGACAAAGTCTCTGAAATAAAAGAACAGGGCATTATGGCAGAGACTGGTTGAAGGGGGAGGATTGTTTGAGCCCAGGAGTTTGAGATCAGCCTGGGCAAGCTAGTGAGATCCCATCTCTACAAAAAATTAAACAAATTTAGCTGAGTGTATTGGTGGGCACCTGTAGTCCCAGCTACTTGGGAGGCTAAGGCGGGAGGATCTTTTTTTTTTTTTTTTTTTTTTTTTTTGAGACGGAGTCTCGCTCTGTCACCCAGGCTGGAGTGCAGTGGCCGGATCTCAGCTCACTGCAAGCTCTGTCTCCCAGGTTTATGCCATTCTCCTGCCTCAGCCTCCCGAGTAGCTGGGACTACAGGCGCCCGCCACCTCGCCCGGCTAGTTTTTTTGTATTTTTAGTAGAGACGGGGTTTCACCGTGTTAGCCAGGATGGTCTCGATCTCCTGACCTCCTGATCCGCCCGTCTCGGCCTCCCAAAGTGCTGGGATTACAGGCTTGAGCCACCGCGCCCGGCGAGAGGATCATTTGAACCCAGGAAGTCGAGGCCGCAGTGTGCTGAGATCGTGCCACTGCACTGTAGCCTGGGCAACAGATCAGGATCCTGTCTCAAAAAAAAAAATTAAAATAAAAACTGGGCACGGTGACTCAAGTCCGCACCCCCAGCACTTTGGGAGGCTGAGGCGGGTGGATCACCCGAGGTCGGGAGTTCAAGACCAGCCTGACCAACTTGGAGAAACCCCGTCTCTACTAAAAATACAAAATTAGCCAGGGTGGTGGTGCATACCTGTAATTCCAGCTACTGGGGAGGCTGAGGCAGGAGAATCGCTTGAACCCGGGAGGCAGAGGTTACGGTGAGGTGAGATCGTGCCATTGCACTCCAGCCTGGACAACAAGAGTGAAACTCTCAAAAAAAAAAAAAAAAAAAAAAAAAGAAAAGAAAAGAAAAGAAAGAAAAAGACACCCTATATCATGGCAGGAGAGGTAATCAATGAATAAAGAGATAAATAAGATGCTTTCAAGCTGTGAAAAGGCCTATGAAGGCAACTCAACAGGATGTGACAGGAGGGAGGGCTTGAGGTGGGGGTGGCATTAGTTAGAGGTATTCAGGTAGGACCCACTGGAGGAGAAGGTGTTTTTAGCCAAGGCCTGAGTGACAATATTGTTGTTGTTTTTAACAGACACAGGATCTCACTATATTGTCCAGGCTGGTCTCTAACTCCTGGGCTCAAGCGGTCCTCCCGCCTTGGCTTCCTAAAGTGTTGGTATTACAAGCATGAGCCACTGTGCCTGGTCAAGTGAGTGACACTGTTTTGACCACAATTTGCCCTCTGCTTGTAAGTTTCACATGCAATTGGAGCTTTTATCTATTGAGGCGGGAACTCCAGGAGCCCCCTGGCTACTTGCAGCTGAGGTGGGGCTGGCAGCCCAGAAGATGAGCTTTTCAAGGAGCTAATCTTTCGGCCAGGCACGGTGGCTCACACCTGTAATTCCAGCACTTTGGGGGGCCGAGGCAGGTGGATCACCTGAGGTCAGGAGTTCAAGACCAGCCTGGCCAACGTGGTGAAACCCTGTCTCCACAAAAATACAAAAATTATCCGGGCATGATGTGGGGATGCCTGTAGTCCCAGTTACTGGGGGAGGCTGAAGCGGGAGAATCGCTTGAGCCTGGGAGGTGGAGGTTGCAGTGAGCCGAGATCATGCCATTGATTGCACTCCAGCCTGGGCCACAGAGCAAGACTCTGTCCCCCCCTAAAAAAAAAGTGAGCTAATCTTCCCACACACCCGAGGAACCGATAAACGGAGACTTTGACCCTCACTTTGCCCTCTTATCTCAAGACAGGGAGAAAGGTATATCAAGGTGTACCTCTGAAGATGAGGGATGGGCTCCTGGTATTTGGAACCTGGGAAGGGCCAGGTAGAGGGAGGAGGTGGTGAGGAGGTAAGGCAGCATTGGGGCTGAGAGAGGTGCCGCAGTCAGGGAAGTTGTGCGCAATGGTGCCTCAGTTCCTTCCTTTTTTTTTTTGAGACAGAGTCTTCCTCTGTCACCCAGGCTGGAGTGCGGTGGCCAGATCTCAGCTTACTGCAAGCTCCACCTCCCAGGTTTATGCCATTCTCCTGCCTCAGCCTCCCGAGTAGCTGGGACTACAGGCGCCCGCCACCTCGCCCGGCTAGTTTTTTGTATTTTTTAGTAGAGACGGGGTTTCACCATGTTAGCCAGGATGGTCTTGAACTCCTGACCTCAGATGATCTGTCTGCCTCGGCCTCTCAAAGTGCTGGGATGACAGGCATGAGCCACCGCGCCCAGCCAATTTTAATTTTACTTGCGTAGAGTGTGTGTGTGTGGGGGGTCTTGCTATGCTGCCCAGGCTGGTCTCAAACTCCTGGCCTCAAGCAATCCTCCTGCCTCAGCCTCCCAAAGTATTGGGATTACAGGCATGAGCCACTCTTCCCAGACCAGGCTCTTTTATCCCTTTCCCATCATTCCAAACACATCGACTGAGCACCTAGTGTGTGTTAGGGCCTCATTCTAGGTCTCTTTCTGTAAGGGACCACATAGGAAATCTTTTAAGATTTCTTGTTGGCCGGGCGCGGTGGCTCAAGCCTGTAATCCCAGCACTTTGGGAGGCCGAGGCGGGTGGATCACGAGGTCAGGAGATCGAGACCATCCTGGCTAACATGGTGAAACCCCGTCTCTACTAAAAATACAAAAAACTAGCCGGGCGTGGTGGCGGGCGCCTGTAGTCTCAGCTACTTGGGAGGCTGAGGAGGGAGAATGGCGTGAACCCGGGAGGCGGAGCTTGCAGTGAGCCGAGATCACGCCACTGCACTCCAGCCTGGGAGACACAGCGAGACTCCGTCTCGGGAAAAAAAAAAAAAAAAAAGATTTCTTGTAATGCTGCCCTGTGGGGTAACAGTAGCCAAACTCAGTATGGAAATCAATGGATGTGACTGGCTTCCAACAAAACCCTATAAATGGACACTGAAATTTTAGTTTCATATAATTTTTTCTTTTTTTTTTTTTTTGAGACAGTCTCCCTCTGTCACCCTGGCTGGAGTGTGGTAGTGCGATCTCGGCTCACTGTAAGCTCCGCCTCCCGGGTTCACACCATTCTCCTGCCTCAGCCTCCCGAGTAGCTGGGACTACAGGCGCCCGCCACCTCGCCCAGCTAGTTTTTTGTATTTTTAGTAGAGACGGGGTTTCACCGTGTTAGCCAGGATGGTCTCGATCTCCTGACCTCGTGATCCGCCCGCCTCGGCCTCCCAAAGTGCTGGGATTACAGGCGTGAAGCCACCGCGACCGGCCTCCATTAACGCTTTACAATGGATGAGTGAAGGTTCCTGTCAAGCAATGTCAGGGCGCTTCCCGGGCATCTGGAGACCCAGAGAGCGCAGCGGCCGCGTGGGCGCCTCCCCGACCCGGACTGGGCCGATCTGGCCGAGTCGAGCGGGGCCGAGCGGGGCCGAACGAAGCCGAGCGGAGCCGAGCCTGGCCGGCCGAGTCCGCCACATTCCCACAATCCCGGGCGGCCCCGCCCCGGCTCCCGGCTGCGCGTCCCCCTTCCCACGTCGGCGCAACCAAACCCGCGGGCCCCCCGCCCTCGCCCCGCCCCGCCCCTTTCGCGCCCGCCGACGCCCCGCCCAGGCCGCTAGTCCCGCCCCCACGGTGGGCGCGCGTGGCCGCCGGCCCCTCCCATTGGCCACACCGTCTGCCTGTCGCGGGCTGCGCTCCCAGCCTGCTAGGTTGTCCGGCGCTGTCGCTCGGTTGCGGCGGCTGCGGTTGGCGGTGGCTGCGGCGGCGGCGCGGGCTAAGTGCGGCCGCGCGGGAGTCCGCGGCTGGCGCGGCCCGAGCAGGGACCCGGCGGCTCGCCAGGCGGCGGCCGAGGCGGGGCGGGCCGGCCCGGGGCCGAGGGCCGGGGGCCGAGGCCGGAGGGCCGCGGCGGGCGGCGGCCGAGGCGGCTCCGGCCAGGGCCGGGCCGGGGACCGGGGGGCGGCGGCGGGGAGTCGGCCGCGGCGGCCGGGGCCGGGACGATGACTCTGGAGTCCATGATGGCGTGTTGCCTGAGCGATGAGGTGAAGGAGTCCAAGCGGATCAACGCCGAGATCGAGAAGCAGCTGCGGCGGGACAAGCGCGACGCCCGGCGCGAGCTCAAGCTGCTGCTGCTCGGTGAGTGCGGCCCCCGGGCCTGCCGGCTGCGGGCCCTGCCCTGCCTGTGTCCGCCCTGCCTGTCCGGGTCGGGCTGGGACCCTCTGGGGTCAGCCCTGCCTTTGCCGTCCGGGTTGCGGGACCCTCCGGGGTCAGCCTTGCCTGTGCCTTCCCTGCCTGTCCGGATCGCGGGACCCTCGAGGGTCAGCCCTGCCTGTGCCTGCCCGGCCTGTCCGGGTCGGGGCGGGGCCCTCCGGGGTCAGCCCTGCCTGTGTCGTCCAGGTCGGCCCGGGACCCTCCCGGTTCAGCCCTGCCTTTGCTGTCTAGGTCGGCACCTGGGACCCTCCGAGGTCAGCTCCGGGCCCCAGATTCCTTTGGGGTCAGCCTTAACTGTTCATATTGGCACCTGGGATCCCGGGGTCAGCCCCTGTCTGTGCTGTTCACGTTGCCACCAGGGACCCTCGGGCGTCAGCCCCTGTCTGTGCTGTCTGGATCAGGCCCGGGATCCCTCCTAGGTCAGCTCCCAGTTTCTGCCGCCACACTGGGCCTCCAGGACTCCAAGATTTGCCTTGTGTCACTTCTCAAGGGACCAGCCCCTCCCTGCTCAGGGACCCTCTGACCTTACCCCACCTGAGTACCCACCCCTCGCTACCCCTTCAGGGCCAGACCTTTGGGCTGTAACCCACAGGGCATACTCACCCCTCACTTCTCAGGGCCCCGCGTTGACCCTTCCCTCCAGGTAGAGCCCTGTACCCTCCATGCAGGCCCCATACACCCCCCAAAGACTCCTCCGTGCCCCCTAACCCCCCATTCCCTTCAGGGCCATTCTCCTGCCTTCCTGTTCCGGGAAACCCCATAGTCCTCTTGGCTGGAAAGCGCCCTGTGGGAAAAAGACAGGGTTCTGTTCAGCTGAGGGTGGGGCGATTGACACCTGAGGGAGCCTTTGCTTGTTGTCCGAAGCAGCTGTCTCGGCAGCCTCCCCCGCCGCCTTCCTTAGAGTCTTGGTGGGAGCCACACTGAGTCCCCGTTGGGAGCAGGCCCCCACCTCCCGGCTCCTCCCCACCGTCCTGGAGAAGGTTTGCTGCTGAACCTCCTTCTCCCCAGGGCACGCCTGCTGCAGGGAGCCAGTCGGGCCAGCTGTAAAGTGTTGTCACCCCAAATAAGGGTCCCTGCAGTCGTTTACAAAACAGAAAGCTCTTGCCCTGCCCCGCCCCTGCCCTCCCGAGCTCCTAGGTTAGCTCCTGGCCTGGGGGCGGGGGGCAGGGGCGGTGGGGAAGGTCAGAAATGGGTGCAGAGGCAGCAGGGACGGAGGAGGGGGTGTGCTGGTGGCGGTAGCTCCTGGGGAGGAGGCAGGTTGGGTGCTGTGTGGGGAACACGGTTGCCTCTCTCCTGCTGTGACCCTCTTGCGGCCTCCATGTCCCCGGTTAGAGAGGTGCCTTGGATGAAATGCCCTCCTGATTTTTTTCCCCAAACTTGTGTTTTGATTTACCTAAGGGGTCTGAAGTGGGCCGTCTTTCCAGGGGACACGGGTAGGTGGAGCCCGCGTAGTGGCCCCTTGCACAGAGTGGCACTGACTGGCTTTTGTAGTGGGTCATGGACTTTGTTTGGATGGAGGGGAGTTAGGAATTACTGGTGTCATAAAGATCTTACCAGATGGCCTTGCTCTGTGGCTCTGTGACCTCCCGAATCCCCGCCACCTTTTCCGCGTGCACCCAGGCTTCTGTGCCTGCACTTTGGACTTGAGATTGACACGGGGTTCAAGGACGAAGGTCAGGGGCTCCCGTGTCTGCAGCCTTGGCTGCTTGGAGCAAGTCTGGAAGTGATTCGGCCCTTCCTGCATCCTCTGTGCAGTGCCCAACTGTGGCCGGGGTGTCTGCTGCAGGAGCACCTGTGTCTGCAGCCCCGCCCCTCCCACTCTGTGAGCTGGAAGTTGACCCCTATCAGCTGGTAAGATGGGAGGCTGCTGTCAGGCTCAGGGCCAGGCGGGGCAGATAGGGCAGTGACGAAGACGTGAGCTTATGTACGACCCAAGGAGGACGGGTGTCAGTGCCACGTAGAGGGCCAGGGGCTGCCAGGGGATTGGAAGGGCTTCACACTCTAGGTGCTGGGGCCAGGGACCCCTCTGGGAATCTGATGCGACAGGCCCTCAGAAAACTTCCCCTCCAAGCAACCTTGCGTCCCAGCTGGAGGGCCCCTTGCTGGGAGGACTTTGACCACCTGAGGTCCAGGGGCTGGGGCTCCAGGGTACAGGAGAGGGGACCTCTGTCAGGCTCCCTGCCTGCTTGTGGGAACTCATTCCACTCTCCCAGGAGGCCAGCCCCGAACTTGCGATTGCCCCTGTTTTTCAGGGAGCAGCGGGAGGGTGGGGCCGAGGCTCCCCAGGAGGAGGGGGCTGTTGGGCTGCAGCAGGTGGCTGTGGTGCCTGCAGCCCATGGAATGTTCAGAGACCTCTGGGCGGAGGTCCTAGTGCTCCGCAGGAGGCCCAGTCAAGCTGGGTCTGCCTCTCCCTAGAATTCTTTCCTCCCCTGCCCCTGCCCCTGCCCCTTAGCAGTGGGGGCTCCATCCCTCCATCTCCCCTATGGCTCCCGTGCAGCGTTGTGGAGTGGATGTCGGGGAGGGAGGCAGGGGCCTGCCACCGCACCCCTGTGGCATCTGCCGCCCAGGAGGGTCTCGTTTATGTGGGCGGTGCTGGTTCCTTCCAGGCTTGGGGGCAGCAGGGCTCCGGGACTCTGCCCTGACTTCTGGGTTTGCAACCAGGTGGAGCATGTTCTGGAAGAATGCGGTGTCTGCTTGCTCTCATCCACTGCCTCCCTGGGGCTGCACACGGCCTGTGAGGTCGGTCAGCCTGGCGAGGACATTCCATGCCCTGTTTTTGGGGTCGGGAGGGACCTCATGGAGGTCCCTAGAGCTGGACGGGGCTCGCTGCTGTGCCGCCTCCCTCGTGGTGGCTAAAATGTGCTGTTCACGCCTCAAATGGGCCTCTCCGTTAACACACACAGGTCTCCCCAGGGCCCTGTGCACATTGGACCTGATTGGTCTGTGGGGTGGGGCCGCCCTGGGCACTGCAGGGTGCTGAGCAGCGTCCGAAGCCTCCACCCACTCCTCGCCAGGAGTGCTCCCAAGTCGTGACAACCACAGATGTCTCCAGACAGTGCCCATTGTCCCTTGGGGGGCACGTTGCCCCCATTTGAGACCGTTTACTGTGTGGTAGCATACGATGTAAAATGCTTGTGGCAAAGCCGAGGGATAATCAGTGCAAATTATTTTCACAGAAGTTTTCATGAGTGCTTATAGAGTCTTTTTCTATGCACAATCAAAGCCGTGTGTGTGTGAATTCGCTACTCGGTGTATGCAAGGGTGTGTATGCATATATTGTTTTATACCCGGGGTATTCCGGGTTTGTCCTTATGAACACGTCTGTCGATGGTGGTGACAGCTGTGGATGGGAACAGGAGTGGTGAGAGTGTACTGTGCGCTTAGCGCACATGCTGCTCCGGCCTCCGTGCCGCGCCGCCGCCATCCCAGGGTCCGCCCTGTGGCCTGGAGAACTCTTGCAGGCCCCGCCAGGAGCTCTTGGATCTGGGTTCCCATTCCCCAGGCCCGCTGGGCCTCTGCCTCTCACGGGCAGCCCTTGGCTGTTAGGTTTCCGTCTCACTGGTAAATTGTGGAGGGGCCCCCCCGTAGAGTTCCTTGTGGCAGGTTTGTGGTTGGAAACGTGGGGACTTCCATGGGAATGCCTGTTCCTGGGGCCAGAGGCTGCTAGTGAGGCTGAGCCGGAGTGGCTCCAGGCTTTCTAAATAAAGCAGGATGGTTAGTTCCGGAGGCTTCCTGTCCGGCCTGCGCCGGCCCCCACGGGCAGTGACAAGGCCCGGGATCCAGCATGGGGTGCGGTGGCCCCACGGGAAGGGCCGGGCCTCTGTTGGCCCAGTGTTGGGAGGCGTGGAGCGTGGCCTCTGGCGCCTGGCAGGGTGGCTGTGCCGTGTCCCAGAAGACTCTGGGAGCAGGAAGCGCCCTTGGATGGCCTCGTCCAACCTTGACTTCCCAAGCCCGAGCCCAGGCTGGGGAGACGTGGGGACTCGGTCCAGGCCTGCTCTCACGTCCTCTGCGTTTATATGTAATCAGTTATGATGACTGTGGCTGAAAGGGTCTGCTTTGCCCGGGCCTGGTCCGGGAAGCTCCGTGGAGCTTCCGCCCGAGCCTCCTGCCCGGCTCTGCCGGTGCTGCGGTGAGAGCGGAGGAAGTGCTTCCCTCCGAGATTTAACCACGAGAGGTTTCACTTTCTGAGTCTTGTGGTGGAGCCTGTCTCTGTCTGGCACCGGGACCCTGGGCAGCACGGGGAGGATGCCCTGGCATCAGGAGGTTGGAGAGGTGTGTGGTGGAGTCTGACGGATCTTAAGAGGGGCGCTCGCGGAGCCCTCTCGGCCCTACCCTGTAGACAGAGCTGGTACCTGGCGCCCCTTCTGGGTCCCCAGCAGGGCTCTGTTCTCCCCGCTGGGCACCCCAACTTGTGAGTAGAGGATGGGAAGCCTCGTGTGGCTTGCCCACCTAGGTGAATGAGAGCGGTGGATGCGATTACGGGCGGCCAGGGGCTCTGGGAAGGCCCACGTGCAGGGTCGTTATTTGATTGAAATGAAGTCCTTTCGCAGAACCGGGATCCTAAGTGCCGGGTTGCTGGCGTGCGGGTGGTTGCAGGCGCATGTAGCTCCTGCCGCCAGGCCCTGCGTGGAGCATTCCCCCCGTCCCGGGCAGCGTCCCACTGTCTGTCCTCCGTAGGGCACCTGGCAGGTCTTCAGGACTGTCTGGAATTGGCTGTCCTGGATCCGGACTCTTGCTGTCATCTGGGCTTGGGCACCTTCCTCCCCCGTCAGGATGTCTGTGGTCCAGTCTCCCACCCTCCATCTGTGCTCCCTGCCTCTGGGTCAGAAACCTCTGATGGCCTCTGCTGTGGGGATTCCTGGTCCGGCCTGGCCTCCTGCGGCTGACAGGTGCTCTCAGGACAGCACGGGTAGGCGGCACCTCGG